TTAATGCATTTTAGACATTTTCTAATTATAGATTATAACTTACACTTTCGGCAAAAATAAGAGCAATTTATGCAGCAAATTAGCAGCTGTAAGAGTGATTTTTTTTCGCCCAAATTATTTGACTTAGCTAAAACTGTGGCTAGCTTATACAGTAGCCTTCCTTTCCTTTTGTGGGAACAATTAACAAATATTCAATAAGTGATCTTGGTTATGTATTCACCTTAAATGGTGGTGCAGTGAGTTGGAAAAGTTCCAAACAAGCTACAGTAGATGATTCAGTGACTGAAACAGAATATATAGCATCTAGTGAAGCGGCTAAGAAAACGGTATGGATGAAAAAGTTCTTAATTGAACTTGGTGTGGTCCTTCAATAGAAGGCACAGTTCCATTGTTGTGTGACAATACTGGAGCCATTGCTCAAGCAAAAGAACCAAGATCACACCAAAAATCCAAACACGTTCTGCGAAGGTATCACTTGATAAGAGAGATCATTGAACGTGGAGACGTCGAGATTCAAAAGGTTGATGGAAAGAAAAATGTTGCACACTCATTCACTAAAGCTCTTGGAACAAAGGAGTTATGACAAGTATAAGTAGAAATTAGAAATGAAATACAAGAGCGATTGGCTCTGATGCAAGTGAAAGATTATTAGGAATATATTATATATGCCCTAAATTCAATCTCATTTACGAAACGGAGTTAAATTAGGAAAGCATCGCTATGTTCTAAATGAGAAGCATCATATAATAAAGAATAGAAGATAAACATGTTGGATAAGTATCTCATGTAACACGAGTTGTATAAAATAAAGCTATTGGAGCGAAAGAGTACTGAGCCACTTTTTTTGTCCTTTCATTATTATTATTATTATTATTATTATTATTATTTTGTTTTCTTAATCATATGGAACCACCCAAAAATATTTTCTTAAAATCATTTGGCTTTTGAGTTTTAAGTTATATATATTGTGATAATGTAATTATTTTCTACTCTAGTAGATTGTCAGTTTTACTAGGTTATCCGTTACTCATATTTTACATGAACAATATATTATGATTACTTTAGAGGTCACTGTAAAAATGTTTTACTCCATGAATGAATAGAATCAGAGCTCAAAGGTGAAAAGCAATTCCCCTTCCCACCAACCAAAAGCTTTTCTTTCTTTCATTCTTTTTTCTCTTTGTTTTGGCTTCTTTCGTTTTCTTCTTCACCGCCGTACTTGTCATTTATTATATCTGACTTTATACTTTAACTTATTATTATTATTATTATTATTATTATTATTATTATTATCCCATGCACTTCACATGGTAGTTCCTCATTTTTTTCTGGAACAAAAAACAAAATTGACCAGTTGATCGAAATTTTATATATATATATATATATATATATATTATTAATTATTATTTTCTAGATCGATTAAAAATATAATTGTTTTTCACCGTGGTAGTTGCCTCTCAGACGAATTTTTTGTGTTTAACCAACTTCTCGCTCATTTCGCAGTTGCTTCCTATTTCTAATTTCTTTCTCTTTCCTATTCAATCTTCTCCTACAAGTAATTTACATATTCAACTATCTTATCTTTTCCGTATAAACAATTAAATAATGCACCTTTCCAATTGTCAAAAATATCCCTACTTTTCCTCACCTTTATAATACTGTTCTTTCTTCACTCTTTTCCATCCCATTTCTTACCTCAGTACTAAACAACCAAACATGGCGATTCATACTTCCACCCTCTCCATCTCCATACTCGTAATGCTCATGTTCTCCGCCGTAACATCATCGGCGGAGGACATGTCCATTATAAGCTACAACGAAAAACATCACACGAACGGCGAGTCAACGGTCTGGCGAACAGACGATGAAATCGTGTCTTTGTATGAATCTTGGCTAGTTGAACATAAAAAAGTGTATAACGCCTTAGGAGAAAAGGACAAGCGGTTCCAGATCTTTAAGGACAACCTTAGATACATCGATGAACAGAACTCTGCGCCTGAAAAAAGTTACAAGCTGGGTTTGACTCAGTTTGCAGATTTGACCAACGAGGAGTACAAGTCCATCTACTTGGGTACTAAGCCCGATGGTCGTAGTAGGTTGTCGTATACCCAAAGTGACCGTTATGCCCCCAAGGTCGGAGATAGTTTGCCGGATTCCGTTGACTGGAGGAAGAAAGGTGTTCTTGTTGACGTCAAAAATCAAGGACAATGTGGTATTTTCCTTTCGTACTCTGCCTTCTTCATCTCTGCACCTCTTACTTGTTTTTGTTTTCCTTTTTGTTAATACTTATTTTCTGTTTAACATTTGTCAATGCTTTCTTTACTGATGGCTTTGATGGAAATTCGGAAAATTTAGTAGTTTGCTAGGGTAAGGGATTCAAATGATCACAGTGTCATAAGTTTTAACCTAAGATCAATGGCAAGTTCAGTTGACCCTTCATTATTGTTAATTTTAGCTAAGGTTAAGCATGTTTAATTTTTAAATTTTCTGATTGCTTTGTTGGTATTGCTGTTTATTGTTATTTAATTCCCTGCTTTTTACCTTTCGTGGGCCTTTTTTCCTCTTTACCTTTGTATCTTTTGGGGTCTGTCAGAAAGTGTCTCTATACTTTATCTAGATGGGGTAAGGAGATTCCACACGATGGGATTTCAGTGGATTTGTTATTGTTGTTGTTAAGTATGATAAATTAGGTTAGCAGGACTTTTGCTCCAATTTCCGCATCTAATTATGGCAATATAAGTAATGTTTTTTCCCTTGAACAAAACACTATGTTCATCAGTATGTATTTTTGTGCAATTGTTTTGGCAAATTATGCAGCCTTGATTGATTGGATTATCTTCCATTTTATGCATAAATAAATGCTGAAGAAATAATGATATTTTTATATTACGTAAAGCAACTAATGATTTTCGTCTTAATTGTGTTACAATTGGGAAATGAAATAGGGAGTTGCTGGGCTTTCTCAGCAGTTGCTTCAATTGAAGCAGTAAACAAGATAATGACAGGTAATCTGATCTCGTTATCTGAACAAGAGCTGGTAGATTGTGATACTGCCGATAACCAAGGCTGCCAAGGGGGTCTAATGGACGATGCCTTTAAATTCGTCATTCAAAATGGAGGAATAGACACTGAAGAAGACTACCCCTACAAAGCCAAAGATGGAAAATGCGATCAAGCAAGGGTCAGTATGGTGTTCTCTGTCTTAAAAGGGATTATTGGAAATGAACTAAATACAAGTTATGACTATTAATATTTTGTTTGAAACAATTATAGAAAAATGCCAAGGTTGTCACCATCGACGGGTATGAAGATGTTCCTGCTAATGATGAAAAGGCACTGAAAAAGGCCGTCGCGGGTCAACCCGTCAGCGTTGCTATCGAAGCTGGCGGCAAAGACTTCCAGCACTATAAATCGGTATTACTTCAGATTTGCCTATTGTCAATAAAGTTGTTATCTTTTTGATCGAATTAGCCAGTATTTACACGGATTCAACAAATATTTCTGTATTTTCAAAGTCACAATGAGTTCAGTATTAAAAAATTTAAATGTTGATCCTATTAAGTTTAAATCTTGGATCCGCCTATGCTCCAGGGTATCTTTACCGGAAAATGTGGTGCAGCAGTGGACCATGGTGTGGTTGCAGTAGGATATGGTAGTGAAAATGGCATGGATTATTGGATCGTGAGGAACTCATGGGGTGCTTCGTGGGGAGAAAATGGTTACCTCAGGATGCAGCGAAACATTGGCAACCCCAAAGGTTTGTGTGGTATTGCTACAATTGCTTCTTACCCTGTAAAGACAGGCCAAAACCCCCCAAAACCAGCTCCATCTCCTCCATCACCAGTCAAGCCACCCACTCAATGTGATGATTATAACGAATGCCCAGCCGGAACAACGTGCTGCTGTGTCTACAAGTATTATAACTACTGTTTTGCTTGGGGTTGTTGTCCCATGGAAGGAGCTACTTGCTGTAAAGACCATAACAGTTGTTGCCCACATGATTATCCTGTCTGCAATGTTAAAGCAGGCACCTGCTCAATTGTAAGTGATCTCTGCTTGTTATTGTTAGATTGTCGCACATTGATTAAGGGAATGGGTTCTTTGGCAATTCTCATCTCATGAGCTAGATTTTTGTTTGAGTTAGGCCAAGGTTTAACTGGTAAAGTAGCTATCATATGTTCGAGCTTTAGAAACATTCTCTTGCAAAAATGCAGGGTAAGTTTGCGTACAATAGGTCCTTGTAGTCCGGCCCTTCTCCGGACTCCGCGCATAGCGGGAGCTTAGTGCCCCGTGCTGCCCTTTAGTTAGGCCAAGGTTTATCTTTTAACAGTTTTGTTCAGAAGGATATGGTTGTTTCATTTACTTACGTGATTGTGTTTTAAATGTTGTTGGTACAGAGCAAGAACAATCCACTAGGAGTCAAAGCAATGCAGCACATTCTTGCCAAACCTATTGGAACCTTCGGAAATGAGGGAAAGAAGACCCCTTCTTCTTGAAACTGTCTCAAGCTAAAATGCTGAGGGATGAGAGAGTGAGTTCGGGCTAATGGAGGATGACTTGATATCTTCATTTGGTCACTGAATTTGCAAAACCTCATTTCCAACAGCTGAAAGTTTATAGGCATTTCCAAAAGGGAGGATTACAAAGATGCTGATGATGATTTCTGTATAGTGCTTCTTTAGTGCTTGAAATGCACTAGAACAAGATTGAAGAAGAGATTATTGTTCTGCTATTTCTGATTTATGTAAATAGTCATTATTCCTTTATCAGGATGACTAATGTGCTACTTTCACCATGCAGTTTATTATTCCATGTGGTGCTTGTACTTTCCTTTCACTAATAATACCTGAGACTATAATTTCCACACCTTTAAGACAAGTGTCCTAAATTCTGAACTTTTCTGCAAATTTATTTTAGCACCCATAGTCTATAGAGTATAGACTATGCACAGTTAATTGCTCTTTTGGTCTCTCTATACTTGTGTGGTGCCATTGTTCATTTGTTTCTATGTATTTATGTTAAGTAACTGGTTCAGCCTTTCTTCCTCTCAGTCCAGGAGAAAAACCAGCAGACTAACATTTCTTTATCACTATATCTTATACTGTAGCTAACTTCTAATCTTCCTGTTACAGATGGCATTTCAGAAATTGTTTCTTTGAGAAATTACTAATGTGTCGATAAAAAAAAACAGGCAATCTTAGTAGTTAATGCGTTTAGTAGCTTACCAAAGAAAGCATTTAAGATTCATTTCATTTGTCCATTTCTGATTAAGATGCATACACAGAACGTGGACATTACTTTCCTCCATAAGCAAATACAAGAAGATTCAAAACTAAAGCTTCAATCTGCATTCAGCAGCTGCTATTTTTCCTTCCTAGAGAGAGTTATCACTACAATATGTTGCCAGGTAAGAGCCAAGAAATTATATTGATTGTTACATTAGTTGTGTTTTTCTTTAACATAAGTTGGGTGATGAGTCCTGTTAAAGTCAAGGAAAGCCACAAAAAAGGCAAGAAGAATTTACAAGTGTTCATATTAGCAGGACAAAGCAATATGGCTGGAAATGGAGGAGTCCATAGGCAAATTGAAAATGGGGTTGTCACCAATCTAAGTTGGGATGGTTTTGTACCTCAAGAATGTAAACCAAATCCAAAAATTTTACGATTCAATGCAGCTGGAAAATGGGAAAAAGCTCATGAGCCTCTGAATTATGGGATTGATTGTTTACTCGCTTGTGGACTCGGACCTGGAATGGCTTTTGCTAATGAGATACTTAAAAAAGATCTTGAATTTGGTGTTATAGGTTTAGTACCTTGTGCTAAAGGAGGGACACCACTACATAAATGGAGACGTGGGTTTAGTCCTTATGATTCTTTGATTAGAAGAGCAAAATTTGCTGTCAAAGATGGAGGAAATATTAGGGCATTATTTTGGTATCATGGGGAGAGTGATGGTAAAGCAAAGAATACATCTAGTTTGTATAAGAGAAACTTGGAGAACTTCATTCATGACTTGCGTAGTGACTTACATGCTCCTACCCTTCTCATTTTCCAGGTACCGTCGGACATCCCTATAACATTCATTCTTTGTAATAACATTTTACTATAATGACCAAGTTTTTTTTAAACCAATTTTTCATGTTATGTTATAATATTTGTTCTCTATAACAACACTTCACTATAATATTAAAAAAATATCGGAACAAACAATGTTATTATAGAGCGATTTGATTGTACTCATTGTGATCTTCAACATTTTACACGAAGAATGTTCAACCTTTTTACACTTTATGCATGTTAACCTATTATAGTATTGTTAGCTGCATTATTTTTCAAGTTACTAGTCCCGTTTATTATGGATTAATACCTGTAATTATTTTTTTGGTGACTGAAAATGTAAAATTCTTTTAAAGTATTAGTGTGTTAGAAATTGCATATCAACTTTGCTCTTGCTACTGTCAAAATTTTCACATTTTCCTAAAGGCTTTTTGTTGTAGTTAGTCCCTGTACAATGTTATTGTGTTTATCAACAACAACAAACTCAGTAGTTTCCCACAAGTGGAATCTGGGGAGTGTAAAATATACGCACTCACTAGTTCCCACAAGTGTTTATCACCAAAAAGATATTTGCATGTTATTTATTGCTCTCTCCATCCGGGCAGATTGTCACTATTGCTATACGTTATTTGGAGAGTCAAATAAATTTTCTTCAATTATGAGTTTTAGACATTTTTTATGTATTTCTTACTAGATATTGTGGTTTATAATAAATACTTTTTATGCTAGCGTGGCTTTAAAATCAACTAATTATTACAATATATACAGGTTATCATACCATACCCAAAAGAACCATTTGTAGGGCCATATATAGAAGAAGTGAGAGCAGCTCAATTGGGAATTAACATCTCAAATGTGATCAAGATAGATGCAGAGGGACTAGAATTGGGTCCAGATGGCCTTCATCTCACTACCCCTGCCCAAGTTCAACTTGGTCATATGTTTGCTCATGCATTTCTCAGATTTAATAATTTTTCCTTTCTAAATAGATATGTTTTACCTTTTAATATATTATCTTAATTTTTTCAGCATTATACGAAATTCAGAAACCTTGTGTATGTTGCTCCTTCTGAGACATGTTTCTAAAATTCATGAATTTCTTTTCAATCAATTTATTTTCATATATTAAGTCTCTATTGTTCTTAAACAGGTCATATGAAATCTTAAAAGAGGGCCGTCATTGACATGTTAATCATAGACATAACTAGGGGTGGCAAAATGGTTAAAATACTCATTAATTAGCGAGCATCGGGTGACCAATGATTCTGGTGTATTGGTAGAAAATAAATAATACACGTGAAATTATATGTAGCTAACAGGGCATGATACGTGGATCACTAAGAAGATGACAACTGGAGTGTAATAATTAAAAGATGCACGGGTTACAAGAGGTATGAACAAATCACTCACGAGATGAAAGGACGCAGTTGCTCGAGCCTAAATTGTAAAAATGGAGAGACACGGATGAAATGAATCAAGACAATAAAAAGGGAAGATTCACGAACTTCCAATTAATGAGGAAGAAGAATCGGAACCGTTACAGAATCTTCATGGACAGTTACGATCGCCAATTATAAGGGTTCATTCAATTTCACTAATGCTCATAATGACTCGGATATAAAAGGAATGAAACGTTATATTTGTAAACCCCTATATAAGGGAAGAGAATTTCACTTGTAAAGGCGCGTTCTGATTCTTACTGGAATACAATTACTTTCTTTTATTTTCAATCAATTATTTCCATATTTCTTGTCATGTTTATTTCTTTTCATATAATTGAGAAAGTACGGAATTTCTTGATTATCAATAACCCGAGTTCTTCTAAAAACAGGCTTTGACCGAGAATCTTATTTTTTGGTTAAACAAATTGGTTCTGTTACCGAAAATCTGATAATCTTTTTACTTTTCAAATCTTTCTCTCACACAACCAAATCATATCAACTGTCAATGACCACAACCAACAGATAGAAGGAACTCCAGTTCCATCACCTCAGGGATCTCCACACACTTCTCTAGAGGGAACACCTGAAAGATCTGCTACTCACACGAATAAACAACATGGAGATGAGCAGACCGTTGAGCAGGAAGCCGTGAAACAGTTGATCGCTGAATACGTGAATAATGCTCTCCAAGCTTTCGTGAGGGGACTGTCAACTGTACCATCTAGGGGTGTTCAAAACCGAACCGAAATCGAAAACCGAACCGAAATCGAAGTTTAATGGCTTATTGGTATCGGGTTAACGGTTTAACGGACATGAAACAGATTGAAAATTTTCTATTAATGGCTTATCGATTTGGGGGCGGATTATTTAATTATATATATATATATATAATGGCTTATCGATTTGGGGGCGGATTATTTAATTTTATATATATATAAAATTTATTTTTATCCATTTTACTGCTCTGAACAATTGTACGAAGTGCAAAGTGAATTGTACTGATTTATTTTTATCCATAAATATGAATTGATATTCTTGGATGTTGTTTCTTCTAAGTAGTGGGTTAATTAGTTCTCTGGGCAGAGGTGTTGTCCAAACAGATTTTTAATTATTACTCCCAACTTGTATGTATGACACTTTTAACTTTGACCCAACAAGCTTGTTCACTGGAACGAGTTTCATATATTGAAGAAAGGTCTTAAATGTGTTGCTGCTATCGAACTCGTGCAGATATGAAATGTTATCTTTCCGTATCTTATATTTTTACTTTGGTTTACTACACGATTTACTAATTAAAAAAGCACAATCTAAACTGATAACCGCCCGATAATAGCTAAACCGATACCAACCCGTCCGATATCTTATCGGGTGGCTAGTGGATTAATACATTTAAAAGCCGATAACTGATAAGCCGAACTGTTAAGAGTAAATAACCGCCCGATCCGACCGATAAGCAGCCCTAGTACCACCAACTCCTCTCCCAAATAATACTGCAACGGTGGAAATTCCACGCTCAGGGCTTGCTAATTCAGGAACCGGGGGAACACCCAATGAATCACGTGATGGGAGACCAGGTACACCAAATAATTCTGATTTACAAAATTTATTACTAACTTTGCAGAAACAGGTGAAAGAACAAAATGACCGCATCGAGCAAATACCTGGCGTACCACATGTGATTAAGGGAGTGGATATCGACAAATATTCACAACAACCCTGGAATCCAAGCGCGGCTCCATTTCCCATTCCCAAGAAGTTCAACATGCCTGACATCCCAAAATATGATGGAATAACTAATCCACGTGACCATGTCACTGCATTCACCACAGGAGTAAAAGGCAATGATTTAACCAAGCAGGAAATTAAGTTAGTGTTGGTCAAAAAGTTTGGAGAAACACTCACGAAAGGGGCATTAATATAGTATTCTCTTTTACCTGAAAATTCTATTGATCTTTTGCTGAGCTTGTAGATTTATTTATAAAAGCACACTCGGGGGCTCAAAAAGTTAAAAAAAGAATGGAAGATATCTTCAAAGTGAAGCAAGGAGATACAGAATTGCTCAGAGAATTTGTAGATAGATTCCAGCGTGAAAGAATGATGCTACCAAAAGTACCTGATAATTGGGCAGCCATGACGTTCGCGAGTAATCTAAACGAAAAAAGGTCAGAAGCCACGAGGAGGCTCAAAGAAAGCTTATGAGAATTCCCTGCCACAACATGGAATGACGTATATAACAGGTAGAGTACCAAGTTGCGGATTGAAGAAGACATCGTTGCTCAGTCAAAGGATGATGAGAGAACAAGATCGAGGCGGTCGAAATCTGAAAAGAGGTCCGATAAAAACATGTACGAGCCTTATATGGGACCCTCAGGGCGAGGCGCACGTTCCAAGCTAGAAAATGTACGATCTGATCATAGATTGAGGAACAGAGATTCAGGTTCATCATCATCTAGGTTCAGAAAAGATTGAGATGTGAGTGATGTGGATACCAACGCAAATGCAAGGATTGGAGACTATAGTTTCAGTATGAGTACTTCTGAGTTGGTAGCTGTTTTAAGGAGTATGGGAGATAAGGTACGATGGCCAAAGGAAATGAGATCAAACCCAAACAGAAGAAATCCAGATTTCTGGTGCGAGTTTCATAATGACCACGTCCATAGATTATCAGATTGCAGACTGTTACAAGGTGAGGTAGAACATTTGTTGAAGCAGGGATACTTGACAGACCTGTTCAGCGAGAAAGGTAAACAGTCTTACATAAAGAATAGACAAGAACCTCCAAAACTTCCATCTCCAAAGAGAACAGTGAACGTGATAAGCGGGGGAGAAGAAGTCAACGGTGTAACGTACACAACTGCGAAAAAGACGACGAAATTCACAGTAACCCACAGAAAGCAAGTTCGACAAACCTTGGAAGAAGATAGCATAACATTTGATGATGTAGATGCGGATGGCTTAATGATTCCTCACAATGATGCACTAGTAATATCTTTACTTATACATGATACTAATGTAAAATGAGTTTTGATTGATCCAGGTAGCTCCGTGAATATTATCTTATTGTGAGTGGTGAACGAAATGCAAATTGGTGACCAGATGATACCAAAAGCACGTTCCTTATCTCGATTCAACAATTCAACAGTTATTACGAAGGGTGAGATAATGTTAACTACATTCACGGAAGGAGTAATCAAAGAGCGAAATTTCAAGTAATAGACACGGACATGGACTATAATGTGATTCTTGGGAGGCCATGGATTCATGGCATGGATGATGTGCCCTCTACGTTACAGCAAGTTATTAAGTTTCTTTCAAAATAGGGAATTCAACAAATTCAAGAAGATCAACAAACTTCTAAGAATATCAATTCAGTGGTGCGGTCACACATGGAAAGCATTGATACAAATGAGGATTTCGTGGAAGACGTGGTAAATCAAATCTCATATGAAAATGTATCAAAGAAAACTGATATGGATTCGAGACCGGATGTAATTCAAGAACCAGAGGAGAATGAAAACATCAAAACAACAATTGAGGAACTCGAAGCTGTTGTGCTATTCGAACAATGGCCAGATCGAAAAGTTTATATTGGACCAAAGTTAAGCCCAGGAATGAGAGGTATACCTCCGGAGGTGATGACTCATAAATTGAATGAAGATCCATCATACGTACCTGTCAGGCAAAGAAGCGGAAGTAAGGTCCATTCAAAAATCAAGTGATTCATGATGAGGTACAAAAACTCTTAAAGACCGGTTCAATACGTGAGGTAAAATATCCTAATTGGTTAGATAATACTGTGGTAGTTCCAAAAAAGAAAGGTAAATGGCGAGTTTGCGTAGATTATACTGATCTAAATAAAGCTTGTCCAAAAGATTCATTCCCTTTACCGCATGTAGATCAATTAATTGATTCTACCGCATGTCATGAGCTATTGAGTTTTTTAGATGCGTATTCAGGTTATAATCAAATAAAAATGGACCCTTTGGATGAAGAAAAAATTTCATTTATTACGGACAAGGGGACTTATTGTTATAAAGTCATGCCTTTTGGTTTGAAAAATGCTGGAGCCACATATCAAAGGTTGGTGACCAAGATCTTTTAAGAACACCTGGGAAAGACTATGGAAGTATATATTGATGATATGCTAGTGTCATGACCCAAAATCCTAACCTGTCGTGATGGCGCCTATCTCGTTACTAGGCAAGCCGATAATCTCAATAAATCACAATTTCCTTTAAGTTTAAAAATATAATATTGAATACAATACAAGATCCTACAAATACTGATACGAACACTCCCCAAAACCTGGTGTTACTGAGTACATGATCATCTAATATGGATACAAGTCAAAAGAAGACGGTCTATAATAGTCTAAGACCAAATACAGTAAACAAGGAGACAAGGAAGGAAAGACAAGGTCTGCGAAACACGGCAGCTACCTCTGAATCTCCGAAAAATCAACAGTGCGAGAAAATCAACACCCGCTATATCCGAAAGCACCTGGATCTACACACGAAGTGCAGGGTGTAGTGTGAGTACAACCAACTGAGAAAGTAACAGTAATAAATAAGGAATTGAAGATAGTGACGAGCTACACAGTTATAGTTCATTTCTAGTAATTC